CCAGAGGCAGCCAAAGGCAGCCAAAGGCAATGCCAGGGACATGGAATGGGATATGGCAGTGAGTATGACTGGAAGACTGTTCCCCGCACTCGGGTTCTTTTTTTTAATTTCCACTTGCCCGGGCTCATTTAGCACAATTTGGCAGCTTCTCATAATTTCCACTCCTTTTCTCTGGCTCAAATTAATTTCCACCTTTCCCTTTTCTCCCCATCCCCGCGTGTTTTTATTCGAGCATTTCTTTTGGTAGTTGTTAAACTGAGTCTTGTTGGGGCCTCGTTATGAGAGCGGAAGATAAATGCATTTCAACACATGTTGTTGAAAGTTAATTTCCAAAAACGTTGCTCATTTATTGTTAAATGTGCATTTAGTTCTTCTTTTTTTCGGTTTTCTCCTTCGCACTGTTCTCTGGTAATGCCTTTTTGATTCGGGCACTGAACCACTCTGCCTGATGCACTTTAAATGAGGCGAACGCCTGAGTTTCTCTTCCGCAGTTCTTTAAGTCTTAAAGCTGCACAACTTGTGGAAGAACTGAAAACTATTTCTGGCGGCTGCATTCGGGCCAGAGCTCCAAGCATGGCCCACAAGTTGCAAATCGAATGACCAACTCTGCCGCAAACACAATCAGCCAGCTCCCCAAATGAGCAACTTGAGAGTTCAGCTGGAGAACAAAGAATATATAGACACACACAAACACATACAGAACCAGAGACTGGGAGCAGAGACTCCAATTCTGGGGAAGGAGCAACTTTCGGTGTTATAATCTGTATCAAATTTAAGTGCTCTTGATATTGCTAATTAACACGGAGACCCAGCCACACTCACACATGCCGAAAGTCGTTTGGTTGCTGCTCCTTGCATGCCCACCAAATGAAAGCCATTTACAAAATTAGGAAAAAAGATAGGAATAAAGGCTGGCGGGGAGTGCTGGGACTACAATATACCCGGTACTCTGGGTTCTTAATACGTTTAGTAGAAAGTAGGGCACAATTTCCTTCCTAGTCTCCAATGAATACAATATACCCTCTCCACAAAAGGTAGCGGGTATAATAACGAGCCACCAAAGAGTTTTTTGCTTGGTCAGAGAGTCAGAGTCAGAGACAGAGACGGCAAAGAGAGATTGTAATTGTGATTGGGTTTGGGTTTGGTGTGTGGTGTGTGGTGTTTGGTGTTGGTGCTGGGTCTGGCAGTATATTATTTTGCCAGCTGCTGGCGGATCACTTCTTGCGGATTCGGATTGCATTTGGATCTGTTCCAACGACTGCAAAGGGGCGTATGCGTGATATGTGCGACAAGAATGCTGGGAGAGCACTTTCGTGGAAACTTTTGCCGATATCCACTGTCTGTTTTTGAGGCGGTTTCTGGCAGTGAATGCCTCATAACACACTTTAAAGTCCATTAGCGTTGAGTGGCCACAAAAGATGCAGCAGGATGAGCACTGACAAAGCCTTGGATCCATATCAGACAAAGGCAAAGACGCATTGCATATTTATTTATACAGATGTACTATGTATTTAGCTGAATTTATTCAATCGCACTGTTCCGTTGACAAATTTGCAGTCATTGACATTTGGCACAAAATATGATTGAAATTTCTCTTCTGTTATTTGTGGCACTTTTGCGGTTGTCAAAATACTGAAAAAGAGAAGAAGAAGAAGAAGGAGAGTGATGGAGTGGGGAGTGAGGAGTGGGGAAAATCCTTCTCCCTTTTTTATTGCTGCTACTTTATTGAAGTTCTGCGGCAGCACCAGCAGCACAGAGATATTCCATGAAATATTGTAACTGCTGCAAATTATCGTACTTCGTTGCTAACATAAAACTTTTGCCTCCCCCAGACACAAAACTCTATGCAAATGGCTCAGACATTTGCAATGGATGCTGCTCCTCCGTGGGGACTGCGATTGCAGGACTAGAAATGGAATTTTAAGTCAAAGAATTTAAGGGAATCTAAGGGAATCCACAGCAATTAATGATGGCCATGTGGCCATGGAAATGAAATGAAAATGCTTTCAGCTTAACTCAATTGATTTGGGTGGGGCGAATCGAAGCCAGTCGCGGCGACCAAACAGATATCAAATCCATACAAACAAACATATGTGAATGGTAAATAAGCAGCTCTGTGGAGGAGGACAAAGAGGAACAATGAGTATAATGCCGGAAATCTTCGATAATTTCACATAATCCACAATCATGGACACATGAGAAGAGCAGGAAGCCCGAAGGGCGACATCAGCAGCCACAACAATGGCAAAAGGCAATCAGCACTTGAGACAAGACAGCGGAAGAAGACATTGGAAGTCTGCAGTACTGTGGTTCCCCTAGAATGATTCACTGGCTGACTGACTGCCTTGCCCCAACTGCCCCCACTGTGAGTGGGTAAATGAGTGGGAAACTGGATGAGAGTGCAGGAGAAAAGGGTTCTCGGCGAGACATTGGCATTGGCCAAGAGTTTGCTGGTTACAAAGTACAAAATACAGCAAAAATAAATGAAAACTTTAGCCATTTCTTGCACAAACAGAACGAGAGAACTTTTAACATTTACTCGTACTGTGCTCGGTGTTCGGTGTTCAGTGTTCAGTGTTCGGTGTTCGGGGGCTGTTGTAACAAAGTTACAAGTAGCATTTGAAACTTGTCCACAGAGTGGTGGATTGGATTGGGAGTTTCCTATTTATGTTGCTGCTTCTGCTGCTTCTGTTGTTCCCCATTGCGTATGAGTGATTTTTATGAGCAAGTCTCCCTCAATGCGTGTTTCTTCAGCGACTCCTGTTCCATGTGCCCCAGGGCCAGATGAAATTACGAGCCTGACAAGCACAATTTTTCCATCTTTTGGCTCCTTGTTTGGCTTCTAATTCCCTGCTCTTTGGCCTTGGCTTTGTTCTTCTGACGGTGTGGGGCGGCCTGTTGACTATTGGCTCGTCCTTTTGTTGGCATGAACCTAATCAAATTAAATCACTTAATTGCATAAATTCGTCTGCAGGCTAGCGAGAAGCGAAAAAAAGAGAATGGATTAAAAGTTTTTACTTGAAAATTGTTCATTCAATTGATTGCAACGAAACTTGTTTATCAAGTTTATGATTCAGCCGGAATAAAGTTTCGTTTCGTTGCTCACTCAACCTGAAATCAAAGTTCAGACCGAAAACTGCACAAGAATCCGATCCGAGCATATCTCACCAATAAATAAAGTTGATATTTCCCTCAAAACAATTTTAATATAATTTTGGGGCTTTTCCCCAGTTTTCGCAGTTAATTAAAAAGCCGCCTGAAGGAAGCTCTCGACTGTCATAATTAAGCTGTCAGCCTGGATGCCCTGTCTCTCCAAATCTCACCTAACTGGCGCCACGTCACAAGTCATAACTCATGTGGCCCCCAGCTCGGGGAATATTAGCTTGGAGATGTGCATATGACAAATCTGAAAAGTTTCTAGCCGGCACTTTGCCAGTGCACAGATTTCTTCTTGTCTTTTCTCCCTTTTTACATGGCAAAGTTTCGAGAGACTTAAAGGAAGTTCAGAGTTAAAGATATTTGACTTTGGCTTTGGCTTTGCCTTGCTGTTTGCTGCTCATTTTTCTCACAGCTAATTGTGCGGTGTCCCCAGCTCTATCCAGCTCTATCCTGTCCAGTCCAGTGCCGCTCGTTCCAGAACTATGCATAAGAAATGCTGAGCCATTGAGCACACAAAGGAGTTGGTGGGTAGGTAGGGGGGGATAATGTCATAAATCACCATGGATATATGCATAAATTATCGCTGGAGCTCTGAGAGAGACACACCATAGGGACCACCAGAGGGAGCCGATGGATGAATGGAATGGACAGCGGTTGTGGCGGTGGCAGTGGCGGTGGCAGTGCTGGAGAAGTTAAAAAACAAAGCTCACGATAAACGAAGCGACATTTAAGGATTTAACGAGAAAAAATCGCTGTCACGACGACGCATCGTTTTAATCAGTGGAAGACAGTCGTCGTTGTCCTTTCTTGCCGGGCAGCTTCTCCTGGCACGTGCTCATGTCCAGTTGCCCCAGCTTCGGCTCGCAACTCTTGTGTCCAGCTCCGGATCCCAGCTCCAGTTCCCAGATTCTGCCACAGTGTTGTCTACATCTTCAACGTCTCTGAAATGGTAGCAATATTTTGTCAGGCTAAAGTCAACAGCCGACGGCAGCAGACGGCAGACGGCAGTCAGAGGACCTGAAGACAAAGCCCCGGATGGCATGGAGGAAATTTACATTGGCGCTGCAAAGTATGCAACGCATATTTTTACATCACTTCTGTTTGCCTTTCTCCCAGAGCCATCGCCACAGCCAACAGCCAACAGCCATTGCCATCGCCAGGGAAAGAGAGAGTTTTATACATTTAAATGTATTTATATTTCACCAGCAGCCAGAGCCCGAGGCGGAGCCATAGCCGGAAATCAGAGCCACAGGCGGCAATATGCATACCCGACAAGGTGCTGGCTCAAAAGACAGACAAGCTGTCTGGAGTCCCAATAGTTGGTCTTGGGTCCTTAAATTATTATATTGATCGCTTATAGAGAGAGAGAGAGAGAGGGCAAGAGTTAATCCGATAATCAAGTGGGGAATTTATTTGGTTTACTGAATATTTTGTGTGCTCGTAGATGAAACCTACATGCAGTACCAATACTAGATGTATTTATCAATGGATTTATTGAGAGTCAGCTTAAAAGCTGGAATGGTGTTTAAATTATGGCAGTCATTGCATACGAAGGAGAAGAGTCAACCTCTTGTGAAGCTGGGAATTTATTGGGATTTATTTAAATATATATTTTCCCCATGAAAAAGGGTAGGGATCTTCGCCAAATGTTGGTGTTGTATGCATTAAAATACTAAAAAAGGAATGGTACTTAAATTATTATTCTTAAAATGAGAGTAAAGGTTCGCCCATAATTTATTCTAAAACTAAGAATTAATTGGAATTTCCTTGGAATATAGCTTGGGGAAATTATGTTGGAAAGAAGACAGGGAAGCAGTAAGCTTGATCAGATAATTATTGGCTTTTGCTCGTTTAACTTGGCAATTTATTTGGAACTGAAACTAAAATTTGGTTGAGCCGGGTAAGCAAGAGGAAAGGCGAAACTCTGAGATACCCAGAACCCAATCCTATATGCACTTCTCGTTGAATTTCGGTAGCTTGTCGAGAGTAACCCCAAGCACGCCGATTATCTGCTGGGAGGCGAAAATCCCCGTGCGGATGCAGTAGTCGAGAGGCATCTTCTGGACGAGCTGCGAGAGAAAGCCACCCACAAAGGCATCGCCGCAGCCATTGGTGTCCACGATCTTTTTTTTGTCCACCTTCGGCACGGGGTACTCGAGGATCTTGTCATTCTCCTGGAAGCAAAGCACTGGACACACGGCATCCGTGATCATGACCATACGCGGCCTGCCGTTCTCCTTGGGCAGGCTCTGCATTTGCTTTCCAATCTCGAAGATGTCCTTGGTGTTCCAGAGGTGGGTGTCCGCAAAGGCAAGGATCTCCTCCTTGTTGCCAATGACGATGTCCACGTAGGGCATTATGTTGTCCAGCTGCTCCTTCTGCATCTGCAGCACGAACACGGCGCTCAGGTTGAGGATTAGGGTGCGATTCGTCTCGCTGGAGAGCTTGGCCATGCGGAACACGGTGTCCGGACTGACGGCCAGGAAGAAGCCCGTAATGTAGAAGTAAGAGGCGCGGTCCACCACACAACAGTTCTCCTCTTCGTTCATCCAGTCCTCGGTGAAGAGAGCCGCCGCACCCAGATTGGCCACCAGCGAACGGTTCTGACCACTGACGATCACCGCACAGGTGCCTACAGTGAACACCCACATAAGAGATCAGTTTTGTACTGGGCAAACCATACCTGTTGGCATCTCTTCCTTCACTTGGTAGTGGGTCTCCACGCCATCCGCATTCGCTCTCTTCACTATCCGCTCGGCAAACTTGTCCTTGCCCACCGCCCCAAAGAAGGCACACCTGTAGGGAGTCCCCACGATCCACTGGAAGACGCGCATGGAGTTCTGGCAGGCGCCTCCGGCCGAGTACTGCACATTCTCCATGTTGTCCAGCTCCTCGAACAGGCTCTCGTGCTTCTCCTCGGCAATGATGGCCGCATTCGCCTCCAGTCCGTACTTCTCCAGGAGCATGGTGTCCTCAATTACGGTTGTGATGTCCAGCAGGGGATTGCCGAAGCCAATCAGAATGCCCTCGGGAAGCTCCATCTTTTTGGAGTTCTTTGAGGATAAATTCCGATTCCCAAAGGGTGATCTAAAGCCCTCTGTTGGCTTCGAGTACAAGGTCAGATTGGTCTTGAATCCCTGGAGGCTGATGCTATACGCAGCTCTCGTCCACAGTGGCACAGATCTTAGGGTCAGGGGTAAAAGTTGGCTGGATCGGTTCAGCATATCCCAGGTTATGCGGATCGATTTCCCCAAACTTATTTGATGTTCATGTTGAAAACTATAAAAATTTTGATGAATGCTCAAAATGTGATGAGTGGAAAGGAAAGGGGAGCGTTCTCCCCACGAGAGGAGCTTCGTAAAATATGTTTGCCACTTGCTTCAAATGTTAATTACCTGCGTAAATCAATCACGACAATTAATATCGCTGTGGCCCAATTTAATGTGCCATTAATTACGTATCCATCTTGTCCGGGGAAGAATGTATAATTGCTCTGCAATTACGAGTGGGGTGGCGCCTGGTGCAGGCCGGGCTCTTCGCCAGGGGGCTGAGAGGGACTTTTGTTTTCATTTTCCAGCCGGAGATGAATGAATTGAATGTGAGTGGGCTTGACAAGCCAGCAGCAGTACGGTGGAGCAGCAGCAGCAGCAGTAGCAGCATCAGAGTGTGGGGGAAAGTGTGGGGATATTCAGCCACCCAGAACGTGAATGTCCTTCCGCCGCCAAAAAACATCATCAGCATGGGGGAGGCCTGGCTGGTGGGGGAATGAAAAAACAATGGCATTTGCAGTGCTTTGCACAAGTTGCCTGGCATAAATTTTAATTTTTATGCAACACAAAAGCTGCAGCAGAAGCTGCCGCCTCGCGTTGCTGCCGCACAATAATAAAAAGGAAAATATTAAAATTATATAAGTGCAACTGGCAGATACTCTACTGGAACAAGTCAGTGGACTCATTTGTAGACTTATTTTTTCATTGCAGCTTCGTTTGCAAATGTTGCCGTGAAATAAGACGGTTTTCGGGTCATTCATCTATCATTCTGTGAGAGTATCATATGGAGTGGCACTCGTATTTTCCCTGTTTGCTAGGTCTAAGGGGTGTGTGGTGAGGCAGCGTCGTTTATTGCTCGCGAGCGCCGCAAAGTATGCAAGCGGTTTTTCACTTTGCTGCTGCTGTTGTTATTCTTGTTGGCATTGTGATTGTGCTCACTGTAAATGTTGTTGCTGTTGCTGCTGCTGCTGCTGTACTCTGGGTAAGTACTTACTTATGTGCCAGGGCATTATTCTTGGCTATATTCCTTTGCTAAACCGCTGCTGATGCTGCTGCTGCTGCTGCTTCTGCTTTTTCCGACACCATCAGAAGGAGGCGCCAGTGCCACATTGCCGTCTCCAGTTTCAGTTGCAGGCAGATGACTGGTGCGGCTATGTGGGGAGCAGGGGCAACCACAGCGGTGACGTGGCAATGCAGCTGCATAATGTGGCATGCGGTTTGCATTAAAAATGATATTGCAACACGAGCCGCACATCTGCAGCTGTGTGCAGTTAGGTGCAGTGGCAGCCAGCAGTGGCAGGCAGTCACTGACAGCCGCATGGCAATTATAATCCACACAACCACACACGCACACACTCACACACGCACACACTCACACCCCATCGGCTTAAGTCTGTTAACAGGATGAGTAGGAGGATAGAGGGCAAATCTGTAGCTGGAGGAGCGGCAGCGGCAGCAGCAGCAGCAGCTGCCAGTGACACACACATCACACATGACACCCTGTCGCCCCGACAAAGCTTAGCCGCCTGCTCCTCTGAAAGATGCCACCGCAATTCCTTGCCACCCCACCCCCTCAGCCACTACGCATCCACCACACCACCCAGTACAGCATTTTCCACACACCCAAACACATTTACACGCTCCATGTAGTTCTTTTCGGGTAGAGTAGAGAATGGCAGAAAGGTAGAGGATGTCCGCTTCCTTTTTCGCCGGGGACTCACGTTATCTAACAAGCTTTTTATGTGATTACCTTTTGCCTTCTGTTAGTTTTACTATAATTTGGCCTTTACTCTTAACGAGATTGTTGTAAGAATATCACAGCCAGCTAGCGAGACAGGAAGGCAGAGCAGGGAGATGGGAAGAGCGGCAGCTTGAGCTAACAAGAATAAGGAAACCGAGACGTGCCATGGGATGGGATGGGATGTCCTGGCAGATGACCGGGCAATGAATGCTACACGCATGTCACGGGGTGTCCTGCCCACCATTGTAGTGCATTGTTCGGCTGTGCCTTTCCTGGTACTTAGCTCTGGACAATGGCACAAAACTTGGAATAATAATCGTACTCGTATGAATGGGGCTCCATGTCGATGTTAGCTTAGGTGGATGTCAAGCGCTAATCTTCTCCCTCCCCTCCCTCCCCTCCTCAGCTCAACAAAGAGTCAGTCGTGTGTGCTGTGAGATATATTTGATAAAGAAGAGCTAAAATTAACTCTGGGGCGACCTCCATGGCTGGGAATCCATATCATGTCCATCCAGACGATCCCCAATCAGCATAGAATGCGCAGCAACAGGAACAGCGAGGCCAAGCTGAGCAGAATGATGTTAATGAAATGGCGATAGACGGTCAGGCAATCGAACATCGCTTCATGGCTACTGGCTGCCGATGGACCTTAGCTGCAGAGCCACAGAAAAGCAGTTGAGGCGGGGCCGTGCCTGGCTCTTTGATTTAACATTTTTTAATTCTTGTCTGACATTAATTTCACAGCCTCTTTCAGTTTATAAATTAAAGCTATGGGGCATTGGAGGCTACTGGAATATGTGAATATTCGGAATGAAAGGAAGAAATCACAATCAAAATCACTAAACAAATCTTCAAAGTATTTTGTTCTCTAAGCCCTGAAACAAGCGAAAGCTCTTCAAGTTATCTACCAGATATCTAGTGGGCTTAGACTTCTTTTCAGTTGATTCTGATTTGTTAAGTCAACCTCAACAAATCTCTGGAATGTTATTAAATTTATTGACTATATAGTTTGAGCTCACATAAAATTGTGGATTTCGAATATGTCGCAGTACGCGCCATTCATCAAGCCCGTTCTGGAGTACAACGAGCACGGCTGGGGTCCGTGCGAGGAGCTCATTGTGGATGTGCCCTACCAGCCCTTCTGCAAGAGCGATCGTGTGGGCAAGATCTGTGACTGGACGGCGCCGCCAATGGAGAGGAAATTTGGCAACAAGTATGCCTCGTCGTTTGGCAATAGCAATCAGTATGCCTACTTTCACGATGACGACGAGTCCACGTTCCATTTGGTGGACAGCTCCGGCTTCAAGGGCTACAGGCCGTTCCAGCGGGGTCGCTTCCGTGCCAATACCCGCAACAATCCCCGGACGCGTGGGCGCACTGGGCGTGGCGGTGCCGTGACTGGAGGAGCGGCCGGAAATCAGCCCGGCACTGGAGTTAATGAGCGCACCAAGTACGGAAAGGGACGCGACAACCGGCGTCAAATGGGGCGTCGGTTCGGCCGGAATGCTCCCACTCGTATGCGCGAGAGCTCCGTGGTGGTCCGCTCCGACTGGGTGTCCATCGAGGAGATCGACTTTCCGCGCCTCTTGAAGCTGTCGCTGCCGAACGTGAAGGAGGGCCAGGATGTGGTTACCTGTGGATCGCTGGAGTACTACGACAAGACATACGATCGAATTAACCTGAAGAACGAGCGGCCTCTGCTCAAGACGGACCGCATCATCCACACGCTGACCACCACCGATGATCCCGTGATCCGCCGCCTGTCCAAGACCATCGGCAACATCTATGCCACCGACGAGATACTGGCCACCATCATGTGCAGCACCCGGTCCAACTACTCGTGGGACGTGGTCTTCGACAAGGTGGGCAACAAGATCTTCCTGGACAAGCGCGACAACGCGCAGTTCGATTTGCTGACGGTGAACGAGACAGCCCAGGAGCCGCCCCTGGAGGAGGAGGGTTCCATCAACTCGCCACACAGCCTGGCCATGGAGGCCACGCTCATCAATCACAACTTCTGCCAGCAGGTGCTCCGTGGGGGCGACGAGAAGAAGTACCAGTTCGAGGAGCCCTATCCCTTCGAGGAGGCAGGGGTGGATCTCGTCTCGATCGGCTATCGGTACAAGCAGTGGGACCTGGGCAATAACCTCACCTTGATTGCCCGCTGCAAGCACAATGGCGTTCTTCAGGGACCCAATGGAGAGGTGCAGTTCCTCTCCATTCGCGCCCTCAACGAATGGGACTCGAAGGCGTCCAACAGCGTGGAGTGGCGCCAGAAGCTGGACACGCAGCACGGGGCTGTCTTGGCCTCCGAGCTGCGTAACAACGCCTGCAAGCTGGCCCGCTGGACCGTGGAGTCAGTGCTCTCCGGCTCGGATCAGCTGAAACTGGGCTACGTGTCGCGTGTGTCCACACGCGATCATCTGCGCCATGTCATTCTGCGCACACAGCAGTTCAAGCCCCAGGAGTTCTCCACTCAAATCAATCTGAACATGGACAATGCCTGGGGCATCTTACGCTGCCTCATCGACATCGTGATGAAGCAGCCCGATGGCAAGTACCTGCTGATGAAGGATCCCAACAAGCCCATGGTGCGGCTGTACGATGTCCCAGAGAATGCCTTCGATTCGACCGATGAGGACGAACTCAGCGACGACAAGCTTTTCCCACTCTCCAATTGATAACTAATCGCTTACACATATTCATTTGCTTGCCAGGAGATATTGCTCACGATCCGTTGACACTCGACACATGCTGGATGCCACGCCACTGACATCTGCACTATATCCCCAGCACAAATACAATTTAAATTGAGTTTTTGACCAGACCCACAGACACACAGATACACATGAGCGAGAGCAGGAGCTGTGACAGAATGCCCCACGATTCCCACGACTCCCAATCGGAGTTATTTGATGATAACATGGCCACATCAATCACTGCGGTTCTGCTCACTCCTTCAATGGAAGGAAATACAAAACGAAAACCCAGCTAAATAAATATGCATTGTGTGTGTCGCTGGACCCCCACGCCCCCACACCCCCCCTCCATTACTGACTGACAATCACAATAATTGAACAGGAGAGGAGACAAACCTCAGGTTCAATAAATCACCAAAAACAGCATCAATCAATGCAAATGCAGCGTGCGCCAATTGAAGCAAAAATATTTCCATGTTCAACAGAATTTAATTAAATATATAGACAGTATAAATATATTTAAAATTTACATTCCCTTATTGTATTTCAGTTTTTCAGTATTTCCCCAGGCTCCCTCAGCTTTGGGCAATTCAATTTTGGTTCATTCAGTGAGAACAAAAGTGGAAAAATTACTCCCCAGCGGAAATGCAAATCGCTCAACTAAATTACCAAAAATGAATTGTTTTTGTTTCGTTTTGGCCTTACGCCATAGACAGTCCAGTGCCGTGTATATTGTGGCATGGCAAATTGAATTTAGACCCATTCAATTTGCATGGTTGGATTCACACTCACTGGAAACGGGGCGAAAGTGAAAATATTTAGCACATTTTCCGCAAATGAAATTGTGTTGCAGATTGTTGCGGTGGCTGGAATTGATTGATGAACTCGTATCAATAAATTATTCATTTATTTTATAATCTTTCACGCCAGCCTTCAGCACTGCCGTACATTCCGCCACATCAAGTATACGTATAAGTAGAAGGGGAACAAGTGCGAGTACACGTAGTGCGTACAAGCCATCCAGCAGGCAGCAATGAAACACCCAAGTGTTATTCAATTAAAACATTTTGTTTGCTAAATCAACATAAATGAGTCAGTGAGTGTGGTGTGCGAGTGTGTATGGGTGTGGTGTGCATGCGTATGCATCCGCTGCAGGACCAACTTACAGAATGACTTTTGCGGAATGGTTTTTTAAAGCGTTTTGCCGCAGAAAAGTTTGCTTTGGCTGGTTAGCTGCTCGAGTGGCTTCGGCTTCGACTTCTGGCCAGGACTGGCAGGGCAGGGCAGTGACGGGCAGGGTGTATGTGTATTTGTACGTACGGGGGACTTGGCATTTCAAGGTCTGCGCTTGGCTAACCACGCCGTTGAAAGGCGTTTAACAAACTGCCAGAGAAGGCCAGCACAGCAAAGCACAGAACAGAACAGAACAGAACAGTACAGCACAGAACGGTACAGAATAGAACAGAACAGGGCAGGGCAGGGCAGGGCTGGGCAGGGCAAGGCACTTGCCAGCGGCAACAACTCCAAAGCTCTGCTCAAGTGGTGGGGCCTTAACGCAAAACTTTGTACATTTTATCGCATATGCAGGGCTGCGGGCTATGCCACGCCAGTGCCAGGGGCTGCAGAGTACTCTAGTGTAAAAGTCTACTGTACGGGGGGAGTAGGGTAGAAGGGGCGCTGTTGAGCCGACCAAGGCATTTGCATATGCAACCACAAACACCGCCCGAGTGAAAAGTTAAGCGTTGAATGAGGGCGACAAATTGCAAATTAAACTCTTTTCCACACACATGAGAAATAGTTGTAAATAAAACTGCCACACCCACATCAACTTTCTGCTAACAACCTCTAACTAAAATTCAATTTTATTTCAATTTGCCAAACGCTAAAGAGGATGGGAATGTCGATAGGCATGAACATGGACATGGACATGAGGATGGGGCTGTGGATGTGGATGGGTATGATGATGAGGATTGCGATGGGCGAGCCGCCTGAGCCGCATTAGGAAACCAAATCCGACTTAAAGTTGCCTTTGGGCGCCGGGGGCTCTTGAGTCGTTTAAGTAACGCAACAAATTTGCCTTCTCTGGACATTAGTTCAGCGCCGAAGCGCCGAGGAATTTTGGAATGTTTGCAGGGAAAAAGTTTTCTGTTTCTGGCTCCGATTTCAGATTTCGTCCTGCCTTTTGGCATATTTAATTTGGCGACTTGTGTCAGTTTTTCTTTCTCCCTTTTTTTTTTTTGTGTGAAAGGGATTCTTCTGTCAATTTTGTGACATTTGCCTGGGGGCCCGTTCACGTTCACCGACAACTTTTCAAATGCAGCTCATTTAAATATCATTTGTCAGGGAAAAGTTTTGCCACGAGTCGATTAATCGAGGGACCTGGAACTGGCAGGAGGGAACAGACTTGAGGTATATATGTATATGAAAAAAGATAATAGTTAAAAAGGAGCAAGAGTGGGAGAGAGCGGGAGAGCGTCAGAGACAGATCATATCATAATCCTAGAAAATAAAAATATAATTTTATTTTTCTCTTCACCTGCACCTGATTCATATCCGTTCATAAAAATATAGCATCTAGATTATTCGCATCTCAAAGATTCAACTCTTGACTGTGTTCAACCTTGCTCCCTTTTCACTAATGCAAATTTGTCGGAATTTGTTCGCTCATTTTTCACCATTTAATATATTCAAATTAGAGTTTTCCCGTTTCATTCGTACGACTAGACGAGCATGGAGGAGGGGTGGGAGCCAGCGACAAGGAGTGGTGGATGCCACAGAAATGGTACTTGTTATCAAAGCCGCCACCGACTGGAACAACGGCCACAAATTCCGTCACCGTCACCTAACAAATCTGCAACAATAGTGATAATTTTTTGCACTTCTTCAGCTCGTCCTCCGTCAGGTTTTCGGTTTTCAGTTTCCGGCAGAAGTTTTTGCAAACATTTTGACAAAGTTCTCTTCTAATTTTTTTTTGCGGTATTTGAGCTGAAACTTTTTTTTGGTGGCATGGGACGAGAATAATGTTGGAAATTATGCAGATGCAATGAGGGGGAACATGAAAACAGGCAATATGGAACAGGGAACAAGGAACAGGGACCAGGGACCAGGCTACAGGGACTGTGCACATAATTCGATGAAATGAATTGGTTGCAGCTGCCGCCGTGCACGATGAGGCACAGAGTTAACTGACAATCCCGCACAATGATTGCATAAAAAAGTTCTCAGCTTTCGGCTGAGGGATCCCGCAGAATTATCACCCAGTCGGGTGCCAGAGCGGAAATCATTTTTCCTCTTCCTGTGTGGCAAAGGGAGCCTTCCCTCAATGCAGTTCTCAGTTTTCTCCTCTTCCTGTTCGGCCGCAAAAAGTGAATATTTTTCATGGCTCCAGCTTCAGCAGCAGGAACCTGCTTCTGCTCCTGCTTCATCTCCTGACCAACTGCGGCCATGGAGCAACTTCTGTTTTACACATTTCTAATTCGTTTCCTGCCGCCGAGTGCCTGTCTGGGGCCGTGTCTGGCTCCTGGTCCGGGTCTGGGTCCGGGTGCTCGTTCAGAGTAACAAATCTCGAATGAAATTCATTGAATACTTGTCAAAAATATTCCAATAGCTCTCGTAATTGGATTCTTTCCAATCGCCCATCCCCAATCCCCAATCGTTGTCATTCTTGTTTCAGGGCACATGTGCACTTTTGCACTTTTGAATAATTCTGCGTGGATTTGGCTTTATCCTGCGACGGAGGCTCTGGCGCACTTGGTGCACTTGGCTTCAGGCAATACTTAAATTATGCTGACATTTCGCCGTTTAAATTGAAGTTGTAACCACGAAAGATGTGTTCAATGAAGCCTTGATTTGGAGTGGGTTTTTGTTATGCAAATAACTTTAAAGATCAAAGGCAAAACACTATAGCAGACAGTGATTATTCCAGGCAGGTTTCACTTTAAATAAAAATACAAAAAAGACATCACAACAGAGGGTGGAAGACACAGACTCAGGTCTCAGGTACTGGTACTGGTACATGTACAGGTACAGGTAAGACCCAGATGTGGCTAAACTTTTCTGCAGGAAAATGGTTGGGGGGCAACAAAGTAAATCAACAAGTTGGATCAACTTCTCTGTCGAGGCAGACACCGATGGAATATTTTAAGCTCGACGAGCTCTTAACTGCTTTAAGTTTTCAACATAAATATCAAGTATACGCAACGGATGCCGCCATCACATAAGAATACGGTTCTGGCGAAACCCAAATCCAGGAAAACGAAAACGAAAACGGAAAAAAAGAAATGAACCACACAAAACAAAGTTGGTTTACTTTCTGTTCGTTTCAGTTGTTTTGTACATTTCGCCACAAGCATGAAAATCGATTACCTGTATGAAATGGAAAATATTCTTACATGTGGATGTATATAGATATATCTCAGTGTGGGATGATTGTGTTTATTCCCCCTTCGGAGAAGGCGAAGAGCGGAGGAGCAGACTTTGCATAAACGAATTGTAAATACAGCAAAGGGAAAACATTGAAATTATGCCAAATGCGTTTTCCAGTTTCTAATTTCGGCATCGATTCTCGATTTCTCTGTGAAGTGCAGCTCTGTGGAGATGTCGTCGATTCCCATTTCGAGTGGCAATTTGCAAGGAATTTCTCCGATTGCAACTCCTTCTGTAGCCCCCCCCCTCCTGCGGATGATGATGATGATGATGCAACAAGGAAAGTCCAAGTCTTGACTGTCTGTCCATTTGCTTGCCTGCATTGTTTTTTATTTTATTTGCAACAAATTGGGTTTTATCTATCCAATGTCGGATGGATAAAGAGGGAAGCGGCAGAATACGAATCAGGGGGAGTAGCTTGAGGGACAGCTGATGCTCCACTGATGACAATGATGTCCTTGTTCGATCCCAGCAAAAGTTTCGTACAAAATTAAATTCCTTTTGCTACTCCTCAATAAACTGGCATTGTTGAATGGACATCATCGAAATTTCCATCACTCACACTCCCCGGAAAATGACCAAACAAAAGGCAGGGCAGCCGGACGTTGGTCAGAATGTGCGATGAGTTCTCTGGGGGTCTAGGACTCCGCAGCCGGGCTGCTGCCTTCGGGCTCCGGGCTCTGTTGCACACACTCAATCACAATCCGAGTGTCCTGGCAAGTGGCAAGAAAAAGATCAAGTGCCACACTTGTTGGCGTCACAAAAAAAAGAGAATGAAGGCGAAGCGAACGATTATTTTGATGAGGTTAGCAAGTGGAAGAGGTCCTGGAAGATGGGTAGAATAACCGTGATGGTGGGAAACAGTGGATATTCGATTTCGGTGGTTCCAATGAGTCTGCTATGTTCTTATTGGTGCTGTAACTTTGTAAGCCCCAGGTACATAGGTCCTATATAGTCGACCATCATTCGGATCTACTAATAAATGAACTTGAACGGAGAGAGAACTCAAATTATTAAGAGGCTTGCTTAAAACTCTACTTGGCTTACCAAAATGATCTGTAATTGAAAGGATATTTATATTCCTGTATGATTTAGCAACATATACAAAACAGCAAAAACTCACTCTGTCTCTTGGCCAGTCCCAAATGAACAAAGAAAAATACACAAAATAAACAAAAAATCGTCATCTTCTTCAAAGTTGAAACAAATGAATAAAATGAACAAATATATAGCGTTAGCTGAGTGCTAGAGAAAAAGTAAAAATTAGTCATGGAAAAGTAGAAATTTCATGGCTTGAGCTTGAGTTCTTCTACCTACAAATGACGCCCCATAAATCGTTGAAAATTAGCAAAGATAAACAAAGCAAACAAACAGAAACATTAGGATTACGATCTTTCGAAATAAAACAAAATTGGACTTCCTCTAATAAAATCTGGGGTTCATATAAAAGACGATCAACATTTGTGATTAGTAAAAAATGTTTAAAAATTATCATAAAAAGATGGAACCAACTTATTGACCGCTCCGAAGTTACTGCTGTGGAACCTCCGCCCCTCAGGTCCATAAAATATATCTCATGTTCTGACTGCCATCTCCCTAATATATCATCTTTAATGTGTCTGACTTTCCACGTTGTTTGTTCCATGTCCTTTTTTTTTTGTGTGGCAAGGGAAGCTGCTGCATTTTTAGTTTCTCTTCGTGTGTACTTGTCCTTTTTGTGTGTGTGTGTGTGTGTGTTTTCGGGGCCCTCGTCCTTTTTGCGGCACTTACTTCCGCACTTTAATGTGCCTCCATAAACTCTCCTTTACGGCGGCTCCGCCATCTCTGACCCGAACAGAAAAACCAAATGTTTTTCCTGTCTTTGGCTCCAATGTTCCGCCTTTAATGGCTGCTTTTCCGAGCTCTCTGGGCATTTTTGTACGTGTGTCAAGTGTGGCAGGCATTTAATGAGCTGATTTGAATTAAATTTTATGTGGTTAAGCGCATTAGCAGCGGCAAAAACTCATTTCAAGTGGCCAACTCGAATGGGGTCAGCTCCCTCGCTCCAGGTTGTTCCCCCACTTGACACACATCCATTTCAAGATGTTCTGTTCTCGCACATCTGGGAAATATATGTAAGAGCCACAGTTCTTGCTAATCAGTGGCACAAATTTTATTTTCTGCGCACATTTTGCTGTGATTTCCTATTGTGTGGATTCCCGTGCAACTTCTTTTCTTGTCATTGGCTTGTCACCTGCATAGAACATGACATTTGCCTAATTTGAATTTAAATACCTTCTATGGAGCCGGCAAAAACAGCGAGAAAAACAGCAGCAGCACTGACAGCTGGAAAAACTGGACAAATCTAACATACAAACAGCGGAACAGAGCACGAGGACGACAGAGGTCGAGGTCTGGTCTGGCTCTGGTTCTGAACTGAAAAAAGAGAAAATCAAGCGGCAAAATAGCCGAACAACATGTCAGTGGTGGTGGTGGGCAGCAGGAGTTGGACTGGTGGCAGGAGCTGGGTTCGCAGTGGGTCAGCGGGTGGGCGTGCTCCATTGTGGCGCCCATCACCTGATGGTTCACTAAATAAGAAATTATTATGAGCATGCAGCGTTTGACTCCGCAGCCCGTTGCCGCAGCAGCCGTTGTCGTAATCACACCCACACACACACACACACACAAACCTCCACCTCTACCCTCTACCTCTTTGCCATGTTTAACTTCCGGTGGAATTCGCACACATACGAGATGAACAGGATACGCGCACAAGAACACACACACGCAAACACACAGACATGTTGGTCAAATTTCATAAACAGCCAACAACAAGCGGAGCAGAGGAGCTCCTCAGAAGTGTAGATACGTACATGTGGATGCCCTTTAATTGATCTTTACAAAAATAAATAAATAATTTATATTTTTAATATTCCACATGCTCCGAAATCATTCGCTAACTCGAGTCAGATCTATTTGAAAGAAATACAAACATATACTCAAATAGCTTTCAAGTTAGTGTGTTAAAGTTTGGAAACGTTTCCTTTTAAATGATTTTGATATAAGAGAATATTCCTTGGCACATGTTTTTCTGCCTGGTACATCCTGGTATAATCCAAAATAAAGATAAAATTGTATAATATGTTTGATCTATTCCCTAGCCGCTGACTTCCCCGTTCATACCCTGTTTTTTCTCTGTAAAAACTTTGGTGTGGCAAAACACGAAAGAGGAAGTTGACCGCTCGCCGCCATATGCCCCGTAGTCTGTCTGTCTGTGTCTCTGGCCCCTGCCTCTGCGTCAGCAGCCCCCCTCCAGTGTATGCTTGTGTTACTTAATGTATCCTGGATTTATTGTGCTGTTTCCTTGTAGCCTGCTGCCGTGAATTAAATGTACATAAAGTTTTTTTCGCCAGGCCTCCTGTTTTTCTATATAGGAAATACCCGACGGTGGTGCGGCTGTTTTGGATGCTGCAGCATGTCGGGGTCTGAGTTGGCTTCCGTTTGGTCTTGAAACCTGCAACAAAAAGAGAGGAAGAGTGCAAAATAAACATGCAAAAAGCTGCACACATGTGCACATGTGCATATCCTCTGGCTGCATTTTTGCAATTTACAGCAGGAAAAAGACGTCGCCCGTCTCTGACATTATTATGCGGCGACGACGACGACGACGACGATGAGGAACAGCGGCGACTTTTGCCCTTTGGCCATGCGTTTCCGGACCCGGGACCCCCAGAACCACCCCCCCCCGAACCCGAACCCGAACCCGGACCCGGAGCCAAGCCCCATGCCACTCCACCTCGACTGATGTTGCAATGTTCCGCCTGAAGCTACCTAGAGCGTTTTGCAACAGCAAAAGTGACACAAAGAGTCTTAAACTTTGTTCTCTCTCACTCTCTCCCTCTCTCACTCTCGGTTCCTGTCGCTCTCTATCTCTGACTCTGCCTCTGACTCAGTGGCATCCTGCCTGCCCCCGAGTGCATCTGCGTCTGATTGTATTTTGTAATACAAAACTTTTTACCCAACCAAACAATGCAGGTCCGGAATGGGGGAGGCATCTGGGGGCTACGATTGGGCCTTGGCAATGGCTGTGTCACACAGGGCGGATGATTTCTCATGTTCCCTGGCACTTGTTTCGCATTTACAGAGTAATAAACATGCCGGACAGACACTGCGAAGGCTGCGTGGGTGTTTGGGTCATAGTTTATGAAATCAATTTCATTGGAGGGTCAGCAATGGAGTCATGAGAGTGGGAGAGGGGGCTTAAGCGGAAACAGGGGTTCATTAAGTTCATTGCAAATCCGTGGCCAGTCTCTCAATTCAATTGGAAATGTCGCCATTGAGAGAGAATAGTAATTGTATACCCTTGTATGCGGTATTGTAATTCGAATGAGAACGATGTAGCCTGCTCCATGTGTCTGTTTCCATTACAACTAGTCACTCAATGTTGAAGCTGTTTTCTGGTTGAAACTCTCCAGAGACCATACATAAATATCATTTATATGTTTATGTAGTTCCCACAAGACCGATTCAAGGGTGTCGAAAGACTCGACCTCCGAAACTATTACTTTATTCTCTTTTTATTTCAATTTGAGTTGCAAGTGCGGTGCCGCATCTGGGAAGCGGTGATGGGTTTTGGCTGCTGCCCCTTGCGGAACGGGGGTAGATGATGATGGCTGGCCGCAGCTCTTTGCTGACAGGAGGTGGTATTGGATGGTGGCTGGTGGATGGTGGCTCTGATAAGAGTTAAGGGAATCGTTTTATCGCATAAACGACCACATTACACGCTGCATTGAGGAGCAGCTAAATGACCGCAATGAAACACACACCTACCAGGAGGAAGGGGGCTTGCAACCCATCGCCACCCAGCCACCCCCTGCCACTCTCTGTGGCATGCTTGGCCCGGCAACATTCAGAGCAATTTGTGTGTGTGGGTGTGTGTGTATGTGTGTCGAAGTCCGCTCGAAAGCAAAGTTTACTTTCGCTTTAAGTAGTAAGGCAGCGTCACGGGACGCGGCGTGAGCTGGAGGCAGAGTGCAGCAGCAAGAAGTGGCAACAGGAGGCGCTGGAGCAGGAGGTAGCGGCGCAAGGGGCGGGCCAACTGCGAGGCCAGCAATGAGCAGCATTCCATGGCATGTCGACAAAGGCATCCCAAATGCACACACAGGCATCCAAGTGCAAGTGCACGCCCACATTCTCACAATCCACCCCTGCACACCCTCCTCACACACGAAGAACAGGCACAGTGGTGCAATGTCACCGTGATTCCTACCATAACAGGGTACAAAAATATCTTACTAAAGAGATACCTATCCTCTTGCTCAGAATTCTAGCAAACAATCTCAAAACAGTCTATGTGCAGGAGCCTCACAGAAATTGCTGGGTTCAACCACTGTGCCCCACCGGATGCGGCTGGCTTGATGGGTACTCCAACTGTTTGCATTATGAGGCACTGAGCTGCTCGTCCAGCATCAGCCGCAGAAGCAGCAGAAGCAGCTTCGCCATCGCCTGCACTGCACAGCGCGGCAGTGCACCGCAGTGGCTCGATCATCAGTTGGCCCCCTGGCAAATACAAGCAAATTGAGCTGGTCATCCTAAGCCCGGCCCCTGGTTGAAGCATCGGCATGCCCCCGTCTCTGTGTGTGCAACTGTCAATACTGGCAATGAGTGAAATGGAATTTGTCTTGCTTGCTGGTGACGGGCTCGAGAGGCGCCCGGCAATTTGTTGCATGCGACCTCAGAGTCCAGTTCTTTTTCCAATTCCTTTTGCCTGAATTTCCTCTCTTGGCTAGTCATCAATTGTAGCTGTCTTTGGCTCGTGTAATAGTTTCAAATCACTTTCCAATCTGCCACTATTTCCCTCTCCCTCTGCCTCTCCGTACCCCTGGCTAATCATGTTATGCAGTGTTCACTCTGTCATCATCAGGCGAGTGCCTACTGTGCACTACAACTCTGTGGTGCTATCGCTCCTGTCACTCTCCCTAATTAGAGCTAATAAATTCTTTGATATATACTCGTGCTACATGTTATTTTTGCACACATTGCCGCAAACGCTGTGTTGTGGCTTCAGTTCTGTGGTTTCCACTCGAACTATGCGGGAAGCATTATTATGCAGGATAAATGTGAGCCCTTTCGAGTATGCCACAGAGTATGAGTAATTAAGTTTATTTTGTTGATAGGTAATTTTAGCTGAATTTTAATTTAGACCAGAGCCGAGTCGAGTGGA